CACGACAGCGCCCCCTGTGGCTCCTCGGAGGCCCTCCCGCACCCGGCGCCGCCACCTGTAGAGGGTCTTGCGCGGGGCGAGCTGGTCCTCGCTCAGGCCCTGCGCGATGTAGTAATCGCCGACGAGGCCGAGGATGCGGCCCCAGAAGAGGACCCGCTCGTAGCGGTAGTCGCGCTTAACCAGCATGAGGGACGTGAGCAGGGAGGCCCGGCGGTCGGGGCTGAGGCCCTGGCCGCTGCCGGACGCCAGCTCCAGCGACAGCAGGAGGCTCTCGGAGTCCATCCCGGCGACGAGTCCGCACCGCGCCCGCCGGGTTGCTGGGCTTTGCGGTCTCCATGGAGATCCAAAGCCCCGCCTACAGGAACCTGGGCGTCGCCCGCGCGGCTGCCTAAAGCCCCGCCCAGCAGGAACAGCCGCCACGCAGCAGGTGACCCTCCAGCCCCTTCCCCTCCTTCCTGGAGTGTGGAACTAGCGTGGGCCTTCAGCTATGACAGCAACAGCCTTGTGCCCACTAATCAGGCAAGTTACAGTGTCCCAGGGTGGCCTAATCCCATGGACACTGTGGCCCTTCTGAGCCCTCCCACGTATTCCACAGCCTCTGATTCCCTCTGTGCCCACAATCCAAGCGCCGACCCTCGCTGTTTGATTCACCCTAGTCTTGTCACTTCGTGGCATTAGAATTATCTGGGAAGAAAGACTTTGAACTAGAGTTGAGATGCCTCGTGGCTCTGAAAGTCTAAGACTATTCACCACCCCACTTCCCTCCGCCCCCAAAGCCAAATCTTACAGGATGGGGCTCATCCATCCCATTGCCTTCAGCCTTCTCCTGCTGTCTCACCCTCCCTCCCTCAGGACGGTTCCATGGAAAGGCGAATGGAGACGCGAGCCAGGGGGCAGGGTCACACTTTGGAGCCAAGGGTGTGGAAGGAGATACAAAAAGGGTGATGCTTTTAGATTAAACTTCCCCATCAGCTACCATGCACATAAGGCATGGCGTGGTGGTGTCTGTCACAGGGGCGGTTCTGCCCTGTCCTCTAGGGTCCCTGAGTCCGCATGGACTCAATTGCCTGTGGGGTCAGCTACCTTTTACCTTCACATCCCTCAGCCCCACAACAGTTCAGCTCAGGCCAGAGGGAAGGCCAGGCCTATTGCTGCGGTCTTCACTCCCTGGCCCAAAGGCCCTCCTTCCCATTCACCCCAAGTTTCCTGCCAAGTGCAGAGAAACAGGTTCCTCCACGTGCTTACAGCCAAGGAAGGAGATGGGCTGTATGATTAATCATTCACTGATCTTTTCATTTCTGGATTCCTTGGGCATGGCCTCATGAAATCAGAATGACCTGGCCCTAATGCCAAGCCTCTGGAGAAATGTCTAAATTACCCAGGTAATTACTCGGTTTTGACAGGCTAGGAATTATTTATGAAGCCTTTTAAAACTAGTACTTGAGGGAACTAGCTGGCGTGGCTTAATGTCTTCGCTCAAAACAATGTCTAACCCTCTGGTTTTCAAACGCTCCCTACTCTCGCCACCCCCCTCAAATGGTGTCTTCCCCTGGGATATGTGGCCTTGTTCCACTTGGTGAGAAAGTAGCACCAGACAGGAAGCCAGGCAACAGTCTCTCTAGTGGAATCTGATCCTAGTGGCCACTGCACTGGAAAGGATCCAGGCTTTGTCTTCATCATAAATGTTTACTCCACACCCAGCCACGGCAGGCTCCCTGGTGGGAATGAGAAGACCACAGCGAGCCCTACAGTTTCCCAATGCTACCCACCCTTGGCAGAGCAGGTCACGATGAATGGTCTCAGAGCAAAACCTCGCAGCATGTGCAGCAGAGTACAGCACAGAGCCCCTGGGACCAGATGGACTGTGTCCCTCAACGTCCCCAAGCCTCATTCATGAAATGGGGATAACAATACACCAATAAAATCAAGGAGGCAACGTTCTTAAAATAGAGCATAGAACAAAAAGTGTGTATTTTAGAGAAGGAGCCCTGGTGGGTTACACATGGGTGGCCAACCACTAGGTCAGCAGTTCGAACCCATCAGGAGCTCCAAGGGAGAATGAGACTGTCTGTTCCTGTAAAGATTGACAGCCTCGGAAACCCATAGGGGCAGTCCCATAGGGTCACCGAGTCAAAACTGACTCCTGGCAGTACGTGTGGGAAGCATTTCAGACACATTGAGCTCTGTAACATAGTCAAACTCATTTAAAAAGTCCTCACAACTAGATGAATAAGCATTATAAAAAATGGAATGAAGATTGATAGTTGTCAAGGAATTCACTTTACTTCAGGGGTGGGGAAGATCTGGCCTATGACCCATCTAAGGCCCAAGAATTATTCCTAGTAGGAAAACACCCATCTCCTCAAAGGGAAGCAGTACTAGCCATCCCATTAGGGGTGAGTTCATGAAATGCTAGACCCCCGTGGCCTGGGAATGAGGCTAGAAATAATCCACATGGCCCCTGCTTTACTTGGGTCTATAATCAATGTCCGCAGAAACAGTAGTCACATAACATGATGGACAACATGGGAGAAATCTGCTGCAAATGACCTCTTTCCAGTGTCCAAAAATAAAGCTGTCACTTTGAGGACAAAGGGGAACCTGACCCACGCCATGGCATTTTCATTGCCTCGTAGGGTGGACAAAGACGACCAGCAAAATGGCCCAGGGGCTGTGATCTCAAGCCCAGCCTCTGCTTGTGAGGGTGGTGTAGGAGTGGTGGGCTTCATTCTGTTGTACGCAGGTCTGCTGAGTTGGCACCTAATAAAGAGAATCGTGTAACAAAAATAACGAAATAAAGTGTGTAACATATGTATCCTTGACCCTACTTGCAGGAGCCCCGATGGTGTAGAGGTTACGCTGTGGGCTGCGAGGGGTGGCAGTTTGAAACTCCCTGCCACTTCAAGAACAGCAGGCTTTCTATTCCCATGAAAAGTCTTCCCATTTGCAGGGTCTACAGATGCATTTCCCAAAATGCACTTGCAGGGTTCCACACGGATAAAGCCTCTGTGAATCCCCTCCGATCATTGTTGAGACATGTGAACAGCCCTGTAAAGTCAAGGCAGACAAAGTTAGGCAAAATGTAACATCATTTGATCTCCCTTTTGGCCCTGTTTCAATTTTTTAAAAAAGGAAACTGTGGTTTCTGCTGGGCATGACTGAACTATGGAATGATTTTTTTTAATGATTTAATATATGTATTAATCTCAATTTTTAAAATGAAGGGAAAATACATGTGGATTTTAAAAAGCCCCTGGAAAAACACACACACACACACACACACACACACACACAATCATGGACCAGGGATGTGAACAGCCTTGCTATCATGCAGAATACATTGGAAAAGCGAATTGTTACAGATGTGGTTAGGTTAAAATTTAGCATTTAAAATTGATCTCCCTTATAATCCATTTAAATTTGTTCTAGTTTTCCATATTCTCTTTTTTGTTGTTGAGGTTTTTATGTTTTACTTTATTATTGCTAGTTTTGTTGTTTCTCTCTATAAGTAAATCTATAGAGACAGTAATGGATTAATGGTTCCTTGGGGGTATGGCAGAGGAAGTTGGGGGGAAATGGGCAGCTAATAACAATGAGTCCAAAAATGAGGAAAATGTTCTAAAACTGACTGTGGTGATGATAGTACAACTCTTTTTGATGTGATTGCACTATTGAATTGTATGTGAATTATATGTCAATAAGCCATTTTGGGTTTTTTTTAACAGTCTTGGGAACTCACGGGGGCAGTTCTGCCCTGTCCTGTATGTAGGGTCGCTATGAGTCAGAATTGTGAGTGTGGTCCATTTGGATCTGCATCCACATAGCTCCAACACCAGCAGGGAGAGAGGGTCCTGTCTCCCGCTGGCATTCAGGAAGTGTCATGTTCTCCTTCCCTTGGGACAAAGAGCTTCCCCACTTGGTGCTGATGGACAGCATCTAGCAGAGAAAGGAGGATCAAGATGGCTGGGGGGGAACTGCTGCAGGTAGGACAGGGCTTGCTTACAGACAAGTCCACAGTTCCACGAGGCCCTGCAAATGCACTTTTACTTTTTCTCAGCCCTCACACCACAGGCGCGTAGAGCCCTGTTCTCCTGCATTTGAGGGGCAGAATGGGTTAGGTTCACCAGGAACATTTAGACCCCAGAAGAGTTTGTGGGAGATTGCTGGGTCCTCATGATGGTCTGATTCCCATGAGATGTTTAAGTGGTGGCGGCCATGCTGCAGCACCTGTGTGGACGGCTCAGCAGCAGCACTCCGGGCTCCAGCTGAGCACACCTGGTGCCGCTCTAGCTCAGCCTGCAGGGAGCGCCTCTCCTCTCAGCATTCTTGCAGCACCTTCACTTCCCGACACACAAGCTCAAGGTCAGAGCACTCCCCTTCGTCAGAGTGGTCCCACTGTCATGGCCAGCTTCATGCCTTACCAGACTTTTGCCCGCATCAGAGGTGATCTCTGCTCTGGGAAGACAGACCTAACAGTCACAAAACCGTAACCGCTGCGGGATCTCCAACAACTCGGGAGACTCGCCACCCATAGGAATGATCTGCAGAGGCAATGGACTCTCAATCTGGGACTTTCTGCGGCAGGAGTTGGGTGGTCAGGAACTTGAGTGGCACTGATCTATCTCATGGCACCCCCCAGCCAGGGGTGTGGCCAAACAGGCACCTGGCGCCTTTGTGCTGTACTGGAAGCTTCCCCACACAGCCTCCACTTCTGTGAGCTCTGGAGATTTGCCCTGAGGGCAACTGAAGTTGGATTCAGATGGGCACCCACCCTCCCTGGCCTGGCTGCTTTTCCACTGGGTCCACCGGGAACTGTTTTCTCTGGTCAGCAGTCAAGTTTCAGCTGAAGGGGGTGCCCGCTGTTCTCTCAGTTGTGTACAGAACTCCACCCTTGTCTCCCAAGGAGGTAATCTTGACTCTCGTCTGGAGGAATAGCCTAATGGCATTTCCTAAAAACTTGAAATAAAGAATACACACGCAAAAAAACCCAGTATGTGCCAAGGAGAGGAAGCGTCAGCTCAGTGCAAAGAGTCAGCTGAAGAGGCCCCCGGTTCCAGCTCCGCTATCCTTCCAGTCTGACAGGTTCAGTACTTGCCAAGCACTGTACTTTCCAGTTTGGCCTGGGGCTGATGAAGACCAAGAACCACGAGTAATAAAAGCCTGGAAATCCTGGAGCAGAAGAGGCCAAATACTCTAGTTATAGAAAGGAGAGTCTCTGACCCAAAGGTTTTTCAGGGAAATTTTGTATGAATTCATTCATTTTATATTTAAGCTCATGTATCACACATACGTTATGTTCCAGGTAAAAAATCCCAAAAGGCCTCACAGAAAGCAGAAACGCGCCTCCTTCACAGGTGGGTTCACGTGCCACACTTGCTCTCCCACCCCACACGGAACCCCTGGGCCGGGGACCCTAGGGAAGATCAATCCTGTGATTCAAAGGGATGCTGCTCACAAGGGATCTGACCATCAGTCTGCCAGAAGCCTGAAGAGAGACGGCAGGCAGCCAGACCTGGTCTTCCTCCTCCACTGGGAGGCAGATCCAGCGCTCGCCTGCGCTGGAACACTCGGTGCCCCAGCAGGGGAGATAATCCAGCCATCGTGTTTCATGATCAGGAGACACCTTCACTCACTAGTGGAAGCCTTTAAGTGTCACTGGGGCCTGGAACCAGATGTAATCCTCCCAAGCTGTGGTTGGGATGGGTGGCCTGCCACAGGACAGGGTCACAGTCAGCTTGTGGCCCCGGCTGGGCACTCGGTAGTTGAGCTTGGGTCGGAACCAATCCTCCGCACAGTCTCGATGCCCCATGGCCATGATGATGGTGCCCATGAGTGGAGGAGCCTGCAGCTCACTAAAGGCATCAGCCATGAAAATGGCTCGGAAGAGGCGGCGCAGACAAGCCGCTGTGTTGATGCCCTGCTCCATACTGTCAGGAACGAGTCGGGACAAATCGAGCTCGTAGAGCTCCTTGGGGCTTAGGACACTACCCCCCAGGAGGATCAACACTCGGGGTACTAGTGTCCGGGCAAAGAGGCTTTCCAGGTGACTGAAGACGCTCTCCAGTTCAGCCAGGGCTTGTTGGCACTTCCTGCTGCTCATCTCCGCAGCAGTCCAGGGTTTCTTCCTCACCACGTCTTCTGCCTGTGGGAGAGAAAGCCAAGGCAGGGGGCGTTACTGCCCCAGGGAGAACCCTTTCCCAGACACTGGGTTTCATCAGAGGGCCTTCTATCAAAAGGGAGAGTGTCTGCATGGTACAAAATCTCAATTCTCCCCATGCCTTTGTCTGCAAAGACGGCACTCCACACCCGGAAGGGCATCAGAAAGAAACCATTCACACAGTCAGGGGGAGGCGGCGGCATGGCAGAGGGGATAACCAGGATGGGCGAGGCATGGTCTACTAAGGGTGATTCTGGATCAGGCTTTCCAGTCAAACAGAGCAAACTGCTCTCCTGTTCAGTGGTGCTCCCACCTGAATGCTGGGGTGGGAGGAAAACCCACAAAGCCAAACTCACTGCCATCAAGCAGATTCCAACTAGTTTCCAAGGGTGTAACTCTTTACAGAAGTAGAAAGCCTGTCTTTCCCCCAAGGAGCGGCTGGTGAATCAAGTTGCTGCCTTGGACTGAGCAGCCCAGCAAACGTAACCTCTTACTCTACCAGGGCTGCTTGAGAGGAAAGGCATCCATGAAGAAAGAGCAGGAGGGAAAGAGACACACTCCCAAGGGCAAAGAGAACTGGAGAGGAGACACGGTGACCAAGGGGCAGCAACAACTGTTTAAAAAGTAGAACACTGATGGAAGGGTCTGAGTTCAAAAGATAGACTCTCAAGGGCAGGCAGAGAGGACCCCATCAGAAGCAAGCCAGTTCACTCTGCTGAACCGCAGAGGGCTCTAGAACTGGCAGTACTGGGCACTGCAGAAGGCAAGAGTGAGCACAGGGAGCTGGGTGGGAATCTGTGCCAAGCCCCCTAAGACTGCCTGCCAAGCCCCCAACCCCCAGAGAAGCCTGATGTTTGGGGTCTCCCCGACAAAGAAGCCACCAGGTTCCCCACCCAATCTCCTTAGAGTGAAATCCATCAGCTCACAAGGCCCAACCACACACACAGCTTGCAATCACCTTCCAAGGACTTGCTTTTAAATATCCCTCAGCCTGAGGAAGAACCAATATGCTAGCCAGAGACCAAAACTGACGGGGAAAGGAATCTGGCAGAAATGGAGACATGCCAAGGAACAGAGGGGAAATAATGAAAAACATAAACATTAAAAAACATTGTGCGTATTAGGCTCGAATAAGAGAAGTCACACAGCAAGGAGAATGGGGTCTATTCAAATGAAGCACACACAGATCACCAAGGTGTTAAGAGCATAAAGTCCAGTTCTTCTCGCAGAGCATAGAAAGACAAAAAAGGCACGGAGCTGAAACTGTGGAGGGAAAAGATATCAGAAGAGTCAGTTCAGGAAGTCCAGGAATATAACACACCATCCGAGTTTCATAAAGAGACAACAAGAGGAACACTCAGGAAGACTACAGTGGGGCAAACATGAAGTGTTTGGGGTAGGGGGCGGGGACCGCACTTCCAGTTCCCTGCTGAGTGGGCACCGACTCATCCCCTCATCGACTCATCCCCTCATCTCCTCGATGGTGCGAGTTTGAGCGCCCACACTGGGAAACCCAGGAGATGGACTGACACTGCAGTAATGGGCACAGGACCTGCGTGAGGATGGCACAGGGCGGGCAGGGCTTTGTTCCGCCGTGTATTGGGTGGCTATGGGTCCGACCACCTCGATGGCACCTAACCACCGTGACCGAGCACCGCTTTCCCGGAACGCGAGCGCCTACCTGTACAGGTTTGCGGTAGAAGTGCTTCAGCTGCTCATAGGGCAGGGGGAGTTGCTGGCGTTGATACATAATGTGCTTTATAAGTTCGCAAGTAAACCGGCAGCAGCCTTCCGGGCTCACGGGCCCCGGAAACACCACAGGCACCATGGGGCAGAAGCGTTCCGGAGGGCTGAGCGGTCCTCGGGCGGCGGCACTCTCCAGCAGGTCTACCTGCGCCCCGTGGGTCTCCTCGGCTTTCTCACGCCACTCCAATCCTGGCGTGTCGACAGGGGGAGAGGGCGAAACGCCCGGCGCAAGGGCTCGAGTCAGCCTTCACTCCCTTCGGGCCACCAGACCGGTCACCGCCGCGCAGTGGACAGCCGGACGGACACACACACGCACACACACACTCCCCCCGCGGCCTCCAGCGTGGCCCGTGACAGCCAGGGGGTCCCGAACCCGCTCGCCTCCCACGTCGGGGGCGGGGGCTCTTCGGGGGCCGCGGCGGATCTCAGGGATCTGGGGCAGTGACTCAAAAGGAAGTGGGGTCGAAGCGCCGAGAGGAAGAGGAGGGAGTGGGGGGCAGGAGCCGGTCGGAGGCAGGGCCGCGGCAGAAAGCAGCAAGTGGGCGACGGGCCGGAGAGGACGGAGCTGGGGACAGGGGGCTGGGGAGGGCGGGCTGCCGGTGCGAAACGGGTGCTCACGGCTCCTGGGGCTCGGGCACCCTCGCCTTACCTGGGACGGCGGCCGGGGACAGCGCTTCCGGCTCCGGCTCCGGCGCCGCCATGACGACCTCCTGCCCCCGCGCCCCGCGGTTTGAATGCGCGCCCCGCGGGGCATCATGGGAAGGCTGCGCATCCCTTCGGGATTGGCTGGGCAGGAGGAGGGCGGGGAAAGAGGCCGGACGTGGGAGGCTGGGCCCCGCGTACCTCCCTAAGCCATCCAATGGGTCACGACTCAGAGCTACCAGCATGAAGACCTGCCCAGCATGAAGACCTGCCCCTTTCTCCCTCTCCCACCCTAATCGACATCCAGCCTCTCCTTCCCGCAGTAGCCGCTGATCGCTGCCTCCCGAAGCACACCTACCTGCGCTCTCTGCTCACTGTGCACCTACTTCGTGCCCGACTTTGCCCTAGCTGCTGGAGACCCAGATGCGCACTAGACGCTGGCCCTAGTTTCAAAGGGGTTCATTGCCTTTCTATGCAATGCAATGTGATGATGAATTATACCATGCACGGGCTATGGAAGCAAAGAATAGGGGCATCTAAGTGGTTAGCGCGTTGGGCTGCGATCCGAAGAGCTGGCACTTCAAAACTACCAGCAGCTCTGCAAGAGAAAGACTTGGCTTTCTACACCTGTAAACAATTACTGTCTCGCTAACCCACTTTTGGGGGGAGAGGGGGGCTGTGAATCAGCCTCAACTCCATGGCAATGAGTTTTTTGTTTGTTTGTTTAACCCTAATGGGGAGGGGGGAGGGCGGTCACAGAGGAAACTAGGCCAAAGAAGCTGGCACCCGCAGAATGGGTACATGAGCCAAGTAAAGAGAATGACCTACTGTTGCAGAAGACCTTGAAAGACAAGAGCATGCTCTTGTCAAGAAATGAAAGAACATAGATTATGAACAGTTTGAGCTGGGGCCCGGCAGGACCTGGCTTTACCTTGATCCTGTAAAGGAGGGGGAGGCTTGAAGGCTTTAAACAGGGTGTGGCACGATTACATTTTAATAAATCTATAGTCTCTTTACTGATCCATAGGGCTACATGAAGAATACGAGCGGAAGCAGAGACACCAGAGGGAGGTACAGATACCAGTTGGAGGTAGGGACTGCAATTACCCAAGTTCATGGTGAAAGACACCCTGAGGAAACAAACCACAGGAGGGTGGGCAGAGTTGGGTAAACTCGAAGGATGTTGGTTGAGTTTGATGTCTCCATAGGATTACAAACTAAAGGTGTTCAGGAAAGTCATCTGGGATACAAGCATGCATTTGAGGGTTATCAATATGGTTGTAGATAAGTTCACTGCAGAGAACTATGTAGATTCAGGATGTGTGCAGCCAGGATCCTGAAGCCATGAATACTTAGAGGATTCTCAGAAAGAAGAACCCATGTTAAAGACTGATAAATAGCCAGAGAGGAATTAAAAAGTAGGCACGTGTTGGATCAAAAAAAAAAGAGCCTGCTATCAAGTCGATGGAGACTCATAACCAAGACAAGAGTGTGATGCAGGAAGTAGAGTAGGTCAAAACATACCATCAACGTGATGATTCATGCAGTATGGTATTGACTCCGGGATAAACAAACTAATAAAACAGAAAAGAGTTCAGAAGTAAGCCTATGTTATGTGAGGAGCTTCATATGAAGGGTGATTTCCTAAGCAAGTATAGTTAGTTCCTACCTTCACAAGGGTAAGTTCTAGGTGGATTTAAAGATCTAAAGACAAAAAGCAACTCTCAAAAGTACTAGGGAAATATTGAAGAATTATGTAATGTGTGATATAGGTGGTGACTAGGTATGATCCTTAACCAAAACAACACAGAAAGGAAGAATGCTAAGTCTGAGTTTAAAGCGTAGGAAAGACACTGTATATAATCTTAACTAACAAAGTAGCTATGTACTAGAAACAATGTTTGCCAAAGGTGAATAGTCATCATGTATCTATTTATACACACACACACATATACACTGAGGAGGCTTCAAAAGCTTTGTGGGGAAACATAGTTAAAAGAGAATGTTTTTGTTAGGTGCCCTGAAATTGTTTTCAACTCATAAAACCCCCACATGCAGTAGAAAGAAACACTGCCTCCTCCTGCCTCCATCCTCACAATTGCTACTTTCGAGCTCATTGTTGCAGCTACTGTGTCAAGTCATCTTGTTCAGGGTCTTTATCAAGCCTGATGCCCTTCTCTAAGGACTGGTCCTTCCTATTAATGGCCCCAAAGTATGAGAGATGACCTCTTTCCCTCTCCACTTTGAGGGAACATTCCATCTGTACTTCGTCCAAGGCAGATGTTTGTTCTCCTGGCAGTCCAGGAACAGTCAGAATTTTTTTGTCAATATCATATTTCAAAGGTATCATCTGTTCCTTTGGTCTTTCTTCGGTCACAGGCACCTGAGTTCTCAAAGTGACGTCTTAGCACTTTAACATTTTAAAGGGGGTTTCTGCAGATTTGCCCAATACGATTGGAGTTCGTGATCACTACTTCCATGAGTGTTGATTGTACGTCCAAGGGGAAAGAAATCCTTGGTAATTGAGTCTTTTCTCCATTTACCATGTTGTTGTTTACCAGTTGCGAAGATTTGTGTTTGGTTTTACATTATGGTACAATCCATACCGAAAATTTAGCTTAATTCATAACTTCCAGCATCACAGTAACATATAAGGCACCACAGTGTGTGTGTGTGTGTAAGATAGATCCCACAGCCAGGCACCTCACAGGTATCTTATAAATAATTCTTCTAGGAAACTAAATATATGGGGGCCGGAGTGGTGGGGGCTGGGGGGATGGCAGGTGCATGGAGCTTCAAAAGGTGCATAGAAAGGTGGAATTCACAGAGAATGGAGTTTCTCTACAAACTTTTTGAAGTCCCCTTGTGCCACCTTTCATCTCCCAGGACTCTGAGCTCCTGGATATCCATCCTTGGTTAGCCCACTTCACTGCCAGCCTTCTTCTCTAAAAAGAAGGTCTCCACTTAGGAGGCAAGGTATTTGAGATAAACCCACTTCCATCTCGTTGATTCCAACGCACAGGATCCCTGATGGGCACAGTCCAACTGCTCCATTGGGTTTTCCAGGCTGTGCATCTTGACGAAAGCAGACGGCCTCCGTTTTTCTCCCCAGGAGCAGCTGGTGGGTTTGTACCACTGACTATTTGGTTATGAACTGCAGGGCAGTGGACTGCTTAATGTCGTTCTTCTAGCTACAGCCTGTGTGACTCCCACCAAATGACCCTTTCTGATAGGGCTGAGTAAGAGAAGGTGGGAGAAGACACTGATAGGATTCGGCTGTGAGTGCTTGTTACCAGGACTCACTGTGACTGCCATTCTGCCGGGTACAAAGGGAGTTGTCTAAGAAGCAGGAAGAGGAGGTATCACTGCCCAGCAAGAGAAGCGAGCCCGGAGCATTCTTTTTATTTTTTGGACAGCATTCTTGAGATCCTGAATCTGGTTTGTCTTTCTTTTGGGGATCCACCCCCACGGTCAAATGGTTCCTTAAGAGCGGCACGTGTGATTAAAGAAGAAAAAGACGATAGACAGTGAGGCAGAAGCTCGTTCTGATGTCAATATCAGAATCGAGAGAGCGAATGGATTTTCCAATGGGTTTATATAGTCATGAGGCTTGCAAGCCTCCAGCAAGCACATGCGTGCTAGAGTGGGTAGATCATGGAGTGAGTCAGCACTGCAGCCGGGCATGGCCCTGAGCTCACCCCAGGGGAAGCAATCTATCAGAAGGAGGCAACAGAAGGGAGTTAGCAGTATTTTGGGTGGGCTGGACAAAAGAATCTGTTGGTCTTAAAGATGAGACCCGGGCACAGAGTGAGCAACCAGACGCAAGTAGGGGACATCTTTTATGATAGCACCTTCATGGAGGGCTGTTGTGGGGGCATTTTTCAGTCTGAAGATCAGGCCAGAAATTCAGGCCAGCTTCAGAAGGGAATGTGGAACAAGGGCTATCATTGCCAATGCCAAATGGATCTTGGCTGAACGTAGAGAATACTAGAAAGATGTTTACTTGCTTTTTATTGAATGTCAAAACTTTCAATGATGTGGGTTAAAATAAACTATGGGTGACCTTGAGAATGAGAATTCCAGAACACTTCACTGAGCTCATGATGAACCAGGGCATGGATCAAGAGGCAGTTGTTTGAACTGAACAAGGGGATAGTGCATGGTTTAAAACCAGGAAAGGTGTGCTTCAGGGTTGTATCTTCTTAGCATACTTAGTCTTTCTTTCTTTCTTTTAAATCACACTATTCCTACTTACATTGTTATCTGCTACATTGTTACTCAGCATAGGATAACATGAATACATTCATAGTACTCTAACTAGGTATTTCCACATTGAATTCATATTAGGTGTCCTCCCCAATTTAAAGAAGAGGAATAGGTTTAGCGTTCTTTTTGTGTCTTGCTATTGGTATAATAGTGAACATTCCTCTTTCTTTGGAAAAGAACATAATTTTTAAAAGACTCTAAAAAGCTGCCTACTGGCTTGAGGAAGTATTTTAAAGATAGATAATAATCTATTCTTTCCCCAAAAGGGTAAAAAAATTAAGGTAATATTGAGAGTAGCCATCCCAGGAGGGGAAGGGGAAGGTGGGTCGAGATAGAGGGAACCGATCACAATGATCTATCTACAACCCCCTCCCAGGGGGATGGACAACAGAAAAGTGGGTGAAGGAAAGTATCAGTCATGTAAGACATGAAAACAAAAATTTATAAATTATCAAGGGTTCATGAGAGAGGGAGAGGGGGGAGGAGAAAAATGAAAAGCTGATACCAAGGGCTCAAATACAGAGAAAATGTTTTGAAAATGATGATGGCAACAAATGTACAAATGTGCTTGACACATTGGATGGATGTATGGATTGTGATAAGAGTTGTAGGAGCCCCCAATAAAATTATTGGGGATATAGATGGTTTGGGAAGATAAGAAGGAAATGAACTAAAGAAGCCCAGGAAGGTAAAGTATGGAATGGAAGCAATTGTACAACTGAATGTGATATGATTGAACTATGGAATGACATGAAATAGATATTAATACCCAAGTTAACAGCAAATTAATAAAAATAAATAAAAGCCTAAATCCAGGAATGAAAAAAAAAAAAGGTTCGCATCCTACTATATTTATTCAATGTGTTTGCTGAGAAAATAATCTGAGAATCATATGAAGAACTGCAATCTCCAAATCTGCGACCTGTGCTATGCAGGTAACACAACCGTGCTTGCTGGATCACATGAAGAATGACGCAGCATTAGGACAGGAGGAAGGCTTATTAACAACCTGTGCTATGCAGGTAACACAACCTTGCTTGCTGAAAGTGAGGGGGGCTTGAAGCCCTTGCTGATGAAGGATTGCAGCCTTTGATAAGTGAAGTTAACAAAAATCCTCACAACCTGACCAACAGGTAGCATCCTGATAAACAGAGAAAAGATTGAAGTTGTCAAGAATTTCATCTTGCTTGGATCCACAGTCAGTGCTCATGGAGGCGGCATGCAAGAGATCAAATAATGGGTGAATCTGCTGCACAAGCCCTTCTGTAAAGGGTGGAAAACTCAGGATGTTCCTTTGAGCACTAAGGTGAGGCTGACTCAAGCCACGGTATTTTCAATGGTCGTATATGCAAGTGCAAGTTGGAAATTGAATAAGGAAGCCTGAAGAAGAATCAATGCAGTTGAACTTTGGGGCAAAGAATATTCAGAGAACCGTGGACTGCCAAAAGAACAAAGGAGCCTGTCTTGGAAGAAGTACAGTCAGAATGCTCCTTAGAAGCAAGGATGGTGGGACGTCATCTCACTTACTTTGGACAGGTTAGGAGAGACCAGTCCCTCGATAAAGTAGAGGGTCCCTGAAAAAGAGGAAGATCCGTCAAGGAGATGGACAGACACAGTGGCTACCACATTGGGCTCAAACAGAAGAACCATTGTGAGGACGGCCCAGGACGCCGGTGCTTTGTTCTGTGTACACAGGGTTGTTCTGAGTAGGAACAACCACCATTGCTGCGAATTGCAGTGCCCTGGGAAGTCAGGAGAGACAGTAAGGGGTGAAGGTGGGCGTTCCTGTCAGAGGTGATGGAATGGAACAGCAGTTTGGAAAAGTGGAACCTTTGGGATGGATTGAACCTCCACCTTCTTGGGTTGAGTCTTGGGTTCACGTTCATGAACAAAACTGTTGCTTCCCCAGCCCAATGGTACCCCATCATGCCACCAAGGCTTCTAGAATTTGAGAGAGGACACACAATTATGTGTGTTCAGTTGGTTGTAAGGTCCATGTAAGTGAGAGGACAAGTGTCACCAGGCAAGTGTTGCGGGCTGTGGTTATCAGGAGGGCCCAGATGGGAGTGGTGAAGGTACTGGGGAAATGGTCCTAGCTCTCCATCCCCCACCCTTCTTGGATCTGTCACCAAATTCTCCTGTTTCAGTCTCAGAAGCAGTTTCCCTGGTGGGTTCTGCCTCTGGCTAGCCTTGGTCTGTGCAGCTCAGCCCTTCCATCAACTGCACAAGGTTGAGAAGGAACATGACTTGCTTTTAACAACCAAAGACCCACGTCATTGCTTGTATTGGCCAATTTTGCAAACCTTGGCCCATCCCCATCTCATTGTTTTGGGGGTTATGCCACGCGGACAGCCACTCCGAGATCAGCAACCTGCCTCTCTCCTTGTGGCTGCGGGCAGAGTCATGGAGTCTTTCAAGCCTGAGCCCTTGATGGGATCCCCAGAGGTAAGCTTCCAGTTTTCCCAGGAAAACAGGTCTGGAGGGAAGTTTCCTTTTGGGCTATGTATGAGGAGCTCGCTGTTTGTGAAGCCGGGGGAAATGGACACACGCCAAGTCGAGAGCCCCGAGATAGCCATGGAAATTGCACCCTGGCGTCCAAGGTGAACTGGTTCTCAACCTTGACTTTCTGATGTGTTGTGCGCTGGCGTTGAAGGTGTTTACTCTTTGCTGACTGCTAGCGCCCGAACGAGTAGGAGAGCAAGAAAGGGCTTGGCAAGAAAGTCTAAAGTCAACAATCTCGTGGGGCCTTTGGCCAAGTTTCTATTTCCAGCCACTCCACGCCCTCACCCGGCTTGATGTAACTAGAGTCCCAGTCCCGCCCCAAGCAGAGGCCAAGCCCCTTCCTACAGTCCGGGTGATTTTAAAATCGACATCCTCCTGGATTGGTTCGGCTTCAAAACAAAGGGGAGGGGATTATTCACAGAGGGCATCCCCGTAGCCCTTGGGCATCGGGGCTGGTTTATGGGTTCGGGCCTCGTGTTGGGGCCACTGCGGTGCCTCGGGCTGCCGAAACCGTCTCCCGGACGGTGCCAGCTCTCGGGTAATAAAGGAGTGACTACTGTGTAAAGGTGGCATAATCGCCCAACAATAACAACCGTAATTAGACTTAACCACCCTCCGCCTCCGCCCTGGCGGTCGCCCTGACTCACTTCGACGGCACGCCGACCATCAGGGGACAAACTGAGGCAGGGGCGGCGCCGCGCACTCGAAGTCCCCAGTCGCCCCTGGTCCAGAGCTCGCCAGGTCTGAAACCTGTTGCGGGGATCTGCGCTAGGGGAGCACCCACAGAGCTTGGTTCTGGCGTAGTTTGCCCTCCGATGCCTGAGCCGACCCTGCTTTAGGCTTCGTGGCCCTAAACTCACGCCAGATCCTCGTTAAGGAGTCGCTCCGAGTGCGGGGACTGGAAACCATAGCACAACTCCCTTGGGCCTTTTACCCGCCGAGGCGCGCTCCCGGCCTACGCGGCGAACCCACCTGCGACCCCAGGCCGCGCGATGCCTCCTGGGAGTTGTAGGACGGCGACCGGCTCTTCGGGGCGACGGCCCAGGCCTGAGGACTCCATATCCCGCGTTGCCGCGCGGCTGTTTCTGACGCGACCCGGAGGC